TCATCCAATACACACTGACATCTGTAATCTATCAGCTTTCCATCATCCAATACACACTGACGTCTGGAATCAAAGTTCTCAGGTCTAAGCAGGAGGATCTGGCATTGAAGGTCTTCCTAAGGAGTTTAAGGCCAGCCTGGGCTACATGAGACTCAGTTCCTTCCCTCACAAAAGAACCCCCAAACTGCCTGGTATGATAGCACTCGCCTTTAATCCCAGAACAGAACTCAGGCAGAGGCAAGCGAATATTTGTGAATTTAAGGTTAGCCTGGTCTACACGGATGTTTTAGAGCAGCCATAGTGAGACCCTGTCTCAATAGCATCAAATGAACAAAACAACCCAAACTGACTGAATACTCATTGAGCCTGCCCACATTTCCGGCTGGTCTAGACACAGACAGACTGGATACTTCTGTGTGGTTGGGAGATGAGTGGGCAGAAGTGTGAAAAGGCTCAGGGGGCTATAAACAGTTATGCCCAGGCCCGGGGTCTCAAGCAGAGAAGGTTTCTTAAAGACAGTGGCCTCATTTGACTGGGGTTCCCAGGAAAAGCAAGACTGAGTCCCTAAAGCATACGGACCACCACTCATCCCTGACTGAACACCAGGGCACATTAGCTTATCCTGTCTAGGCTTTCCATCCCTGCGGTGATGTTGATATCATCACTGTCCACTTGGATCTACCCCCGTCTCCTTAAAGAGGGATTTGTCTTTATGTCCCCAGAATGGTCTGGAACAGGGTAGCCAAGAACTGCTATTGAAAAGAAGTTGGTGGGGGACAGCCAGTCAGGTGGGAGGAGGGTCTACCTCTGCCCCACGCCTGGTTTCCCCTCGTGGTTTCTCCAGCTCCGCCCTTTCCAACGTAGCCTGCACAGCTTCCTGCCCCCCAGCATTCGTGGCTGCACCATGATGCTGACTGCCCACCTCTCCTACTTTCTGGCCCTGTGGACAGCAGGCCAAGCCCTCAGTGGCTCCCTCCTCACCAAGGTAAATGCTTCTAACTTGCTCTCCATGTCTTTCCTGGCCCGGCCCATGCCTGGGGTCTTCTCTTTATGAACTGGCATATTTTTCTCTTCCTTTGAAATTTTCTTAAGACCCTTTCTTAAGGGTCTCACAGGGAATGAAGGCAGGAGTTTGAGGCCAGCCTGGTCTACATAGTGAGTTCCAGGACAAACAGGCTACCTATGTAAAGACTCTGTCTAGGGGTTGTGGATTTATAGTTCAGTGGTAGAGCACTTGCCTAAAGGTCCTGGGTTCAGTCCTTAGCTCCAGAAAAAAAAAAAAAAAGACTCTGTCCAAAAAAATGGGGTGGGGTGGGGGCTCACTTTGTAGCCCAAGTTGGCCTTTTATTTTTTTGATTTTTCGAGACAGGGTTTCTCTGTGTAGTTTTGCGCCTTTCCTGGGACTCACTTGGTAGCCCAGGCTGGCCTCGAACTCACAGAGATCCGCCTGGCTCTGCCTCCCGAGTGCTGGGA